CAACCAGCTCAGGTTATGATCTCAGTTTGTGAGTTTGAGCCCCATCCAGGCTCGCTGACAGCCTGTTTCTGACTCAGAGCCTGGAGCTTGCTTCAGCTTCTGTGTCTCAGTCTCTCTGCCCCTTCCCCACTGTGCTCTGTGTGTGTCTCTCTCTCTCTCAAAATAAATAAAATGTAAAATATATGTATATTTCCCAGCTGTGATCAACTAAAAGCCTAAAAGTTTAGTTTACCATATAGAAATGAACAAGCAAGCAAGTAAGCAATATTATCACTGCTTATAAGTGGGTAGTGGGATTACAAAATTTTTCCAAAATTTTTTGTACTTGTAATCCCTCTCCCTCCAAAAAAACTAAGGGCACCCTGGGGCACCCAGGTTAATGGTTAAGTGTCCGACTCCTGATCTTAGCTCAGGTCTTGATCTAAGGGTCATTAGTTCAAGCCCTGTGTTGGGTTCCACGCTGGGTGGAGCCTACTTAAAAAAATAAAAATACTAAAACTTAATCATTTCTTCCAACAGCAGTGCTCTTACTATCTTCAAAATGGAAATCTAACCAAAAAATAAAAGGAAATCTCACTACCCAAGAAGCTGTGAGAGCCAAAGACTCAGGGAATCCAAATAAACCACTGATTATAAACACAACTTGGTAAATCACATGGAAAAAGACACTTACTCTTCCTTAAGTCTCTTTTGAAGTTTGTCTTTTGAAAGTTTACTTTCACTGGCATTTTTCATCATATCTTTCCGAAACCGATTGTTCTTCATGTCAACCCTATAAAAAACAAAACAGTATACTTTAAATGATGTTTAAGGATTTGTCCTAACTAGTTGTTGCCTTTAATAATTTGAAAACACATTTAACCAAATACAAACATTTGTAAGGTGTGGAACATCACATACACGTTTATTTAAAAAAAAAAATAAATACACGTAATAGAAAACGCTCTGAAAAAACACCAATGATTAATGACAAAAATGTTTTCTCCACACAGATTAAGTAGGTATTTCCCACCCAATTAAACTGACAAAGTCTGAAAAAAAGATAAGCATCGGTTGTAAGAATGGAGTACAATGGACACCTTTCAATGGGAAGGTATGTTGGTAGAACCTCACAGTCAATCTGGCAGTATTTATCAAGAACCATACTCGTGCCTATGCTCTTTAAGTAATTCTACCTCAAAAAAATCTTTCTTCGATAATTAGAAACTGGAAAAAGATTTATACAGAAAAATATCTGTCTCACTATGAATTTAAGGAAAAAATAAGAAAACCTATCTAACAATAATACTTTGATAAATTACAATTAGTTCACAAAATGGACTGAATTTTATCCATTTTAAAATGTTTACAAAGCTTTTACTCCTAAGTGGGGAGAAATGCTCGCAAGACAAGACATTCTCACTTATTAAAGTAGATATTTTGTGTGCTTTGTCCCTAGCCTTTCGTTTCAGGCATTGCACTAAGAGCTTCACATATACCGTTTCATTTATTCTCAAAAGCCTTCTGATATTGTTACTATTGTTACCTCCATTCAAAAGAGAAAAGGCAGTTCCAAACTTGCCCTTGGTCAGTTAGGAAGTGGCCAAATAAAAAGGCAAACTCAAACATGACACCAAACACCGTGCTTTCTTTGCTATTCCATACGGCACACAGGAGAAGAGAGCAGGAAAGAATGCCAGCGTGTTAACTGGTTCTCCCTTGCTTGTGGGATCATGAATGACCTTTTTCTCTTCTCTGTTTTACAGTATTTTTCAAATCTTCACATAATCACCAACTTGTAAAGAAAACTTTAAGGG